AGAGCGCCATAAAATGAACGTATGACTAACTAAAAACTGTTCAGGTTCCCTGCCAGCATTCCCCCGAAGCGGTGAAAATGGTGGGCAAGGATCACCTCGCCGACCGCTTTACGTGGATACTCAACTAGCCAATGGAGTTGGTGAAAAACGACGAAGTCCTGTCGCTAGCGTTGTGGATTTCGTTCGCGGACGTAGTCGTGCCGCATCGGTTAGTGATTTTCAGCTTCATTAGCCAATATGTGCAGCTCGCGCAAACAGAGGCGTCTACAGATTGTATTGAAGGTAACCAGAGAGTTAACACTAGCATTTCTTTGTGCTAATTTAGAGTGGAAGCACATAATAAATTTAGCATATGCTATAGGTTAAGCAGATTCCTCATTTAGAACTCTTCAGTTTTCGAATACACAATAGGAGCAAACTTGATGGTGTTTTCTAGGTATTTATCATTTACGAAATGAACTCAAGGCAATGATGACTTTCACTTTTGTCAAAGAAAAACGCCTGAAGCATGTCTTCAAAATCGAGATCCTGGAAACTTATATGAGCTTATATATCTCAACTAATTTTTTGAGGTAGCCTAATGCAATTTTATGCGTAGCAAAGTAGACAAATAGTGGCTAGTTTTGAGGGACTTTGACCAACATATTCTCTCCTTTTGTTTTGACTTGGGAAAATATTACCAAAATATGGGAGATAGAGCGAAAAAATTATGATTGGCACAAGATGCGCTGAACATTCCGTCAATTTCCATAAATCATCTTACTAGTGTTCTGCAATAAGTATCTTGCGTATCAATAATTTCAGCTGAGTTTATCTGGGCCGGCGACACCGCCCTCACCAACGACGGTATCATCTGCCTCTGTTCGTGCTTCCGCATCCACTGATGGTGGCTCAACTTGTGAGTGGGAATTCAAGTGTTAGCGATTCTGCACCTAGCGATGCCATGAAAGTAGAAGTAGATAGAGATAGTGCCAGACATACCAGAACCGATTTCTGAATTGATTAGCGTGATTTATTTGGTCTGGATAGGACTTTGATTGTGAGGCGATGATTATTTACC